TTGCAAAAGTATATTAATTTATGTAACTGATCTGCAAGATAAATTTAATTTAAAAAAGAATTTTCTGCGGTATTTTTTTTTCCTCGCAATATTCTTAAATAGGTGGAAGTTAATGGAATCTCGTTGATAGAGAAATAAAAATAAACTAATGTGTTGAACCTAATAAAGGTTAAACGATTCAATCGATGATACTATTTTTCGTTATCGATCATTTTTACAACGTTAATTCTTATCATTAACATTATTTTTGGTATAGGTTAAATCCATCCTCTAAGCTTCAATTTCTTATAATTGTCTGCGACACTCGCATTTCCTTCATTCTACTTCGTGTCTTGTCTGTAAAATCAAGAATAATTGACAAAATGCTCAACCATAATGCTAACTTTCTGCATTAAAGATATTTTCCAGTGACCTTTTCTATTATTTCTCTTAATACAATCGTTATTTTCTCCTACCATTTTACTTTAATGCTTTTTCGTTTCGTAAGTTTTCACTAATTTTATTTAATCGTCTTTCTTTTCTTTTCCTTCTAGATATAAAATAGCCGTATTTTGAGTTAATTTATGTATCATCAATTGTACTGTAAGTAAAAATATCATTTACAGTTTTATAGATCGTAATCATTGTTAAAATACTTTAATTCTAAGTAAAGAATAACATTATCTTAATTAGAAAATAGGAAAAGAAGATGCTGGAGATACAATTGGATCATTATAGATAAATTCTAGGTTTTTGTTTAGAGATATTTTAAATATTTAAGGGTTTAAAAATATTAAAAAAATTCTGTTTTTACAGAAAATAATTAATAAACTGACGTATTTTTAAAAGAAGAAAAAATTATCTAATTTAATTATTTTTCATGTTAAAATAAAATAATTCATTTCATTCAATTAATAATATTTATTTGTCATTCGTATTTGGCTCTAAGCGAAAACATATTAAGCTAGAGAAATTCTTATTTTTCACTTTCTTCGTGGTAAATAAAGTGTGTCTAGTATAAAAATGAAGATTAAGTTGATATCCTCTTGTATTGTGACAAATACTTTCCTGTCATTGGAATGTTTTGAATATTTAATATTCGATTCGCATCCTCTATAACCGTACTGATTGACAAGTAGTAAAAAAATATGAACGGCTTTATATTTATTTTCATTCTTTTTCTAAAATTACTTTGTTTTTTTTTTTCTTTCTTGTTAAAAATATTTTCCTCTGCAGCATCTTTTCCAAGCTCAATAATCTCTAACTATTGTATGTATTATTTATTATGTTTATTCTACTTTCCTCCCTTCTTTCTCTTATTCGTTTCTGTATAAGAGTTGAAAAGAATAAAAAGAAAATAGTAGTCAAGCGGTTTTCTTTTTCGTTCTTTTAACAATTTCTTTTCGGTTTTTGTGCATCTGATATAATATTCACCGGTCCTACTTGGCCAATCCTCTCTAAGTATCTTGTTACATTCAGTTCTATTTAAAAAAAATTCGAGTGAATTTGCAAAGTAGACATTGCTGTATGTTATTCCTTCCTTTTAAAATCGATTTTTATACAGAATACTTTATAACTATATATATATATATACTATGAAAAACAAATTGATGGTTGGAAGAAGGAAGATAAATATTTTTGTTTTTTAATCGTGGTTATCGATGCGATCTAAAAGATATGTTCTCTCTATCCTATGCCCTTATTCTTATATATATAAATTCCTGTTCAAATTTCCTCTCCTGAGTCTTACTCCCCGATAAGTATGCTACTCTTCTGGATTGATCGTACAGTAAGTCTTCAAGTGTTCATCTTTTCATCTCCTTTCGAAATGTAAACTGTTATCCTAGATTTGTTTTCTCAATTTAAAAATACATGTAATTCTTTATAAAATTTTATATGTGATATTTTTTAGGGAGTGTGTAGATTCTATTCGGCTTCAATAATGTATATATCATCACAGAGAATGGCTCAAACTCTTTTCTGATGTCATATATTTATGGAGTTATCCTATTTCTTGAAAATGGATAATATTCATTCGCCGATTTATTTTAAAATATTATATTTTAAAAGATGTTTATATGAGTAAAAACACGTTGAAAACCATCATCATCACTATTTATTTGCACCAATTTATATGCAAATCGAGAAGAAGAAAGAAAATTCTTCCGAAGATGAAGAAATTGAGAAGTATATTTATAAATTGGAGACGATTTTAAGAAATGTTCGTAAATTTAAAAATATATTTTGTATTTAATCCATAAATCGCCTCCTTAAATTTATTCATCTTCTTGATTCTTTTCATTATACTGTTTAATCCTCGTATTAACGTTTATCACTTGCATAGATTAAGCAGAATAATGAGAAGAATTAAGAGGAAAAATTCGATTCAAATATCTTTATGACATTAAAAATAAATAATAAGAATAATTTTCTTTAAATTAAATACGTTAAAATAAACGATTCGTTGGGCTGCATTGCAGAATTTTTCGCTCTAATGAACTTAGTGAAGTTTGTGTCTTTCAAAAAGCTCTTAGTTTGTCACTATTTAAACTGATTTACAGAAGAACAAGTCTTTATAATTATTATAAGACTTCTTCTGTTACCGTCGACGGGAAGCATCCAGCCGGCAAGACTAAGTTTTATATTTAAGCGAAGGTTAAGTCATTTAACCTACATGCAGCCACTCGATCGATTATTTCCAAGCATTTGGCCATCTCCACTTATGTCATTTTTCCCTAATCTCTGCTTCCAACGAAAATAATAATAATAATTATTATCATACATCGAGGCATTGTTGATTTATCGTCTTTTATATACATTATTGATTCTGGAGTAATAGTTGATATTTTTTCAACTTTACAAATTAGCTATATCCATCGATATTTAGGATTTTAATTATTAATTTTCGGAATTTTATCTTGGTTTTCGCTGTTATATTAACATTTACTTCTTATCCGATTTAGTTTCCAATTAACTGTTCATAAATTAAGTCTCTTTCTGTAAATTTAATAGACAGGCCCTTCAGCAATTTACATTCTTTATTGAACTAAGATTTGTTGGGTTTCGTTTCTTTTGACTCGAAACCATTTTGTTATCGATTTACTCGGTTTTCCTGTAACATTTTTACTAAATTGTATGTACGACAATCGAAAAACCTACTTTACCAATTTTCTAAGTTAAATCAATTTCTTCTTTTCTCACTTTTAAACTTAGCAATTGCACTTCGATAGCCACGAGTTTCTCTGATATTCCTTATATTTGATTAGAACCCGAAGCATCTTTGAAACAACTCTCGTCTCATAGAATAATCGATGTCGCCATAGAATTTGTCTCTTTCCTTTTTTCTTACGTTATAAAAATATCGACGTATTGGAAAATTTTAACCATTAATTTAGACGAGAGAAATTATAAATTAGCCCGTCTTTATCGAATCCAATAGAAGATGTTAACACAAAAACTAATTAATATTGTCCTCCGCCATCATCAAAATCTATTATTAATGGCCACAGACACGTCGATTTTTTTATAAATTAAGAAAAAAAGAAAGAAAATCTCTCATACATTTTAACGTAATCGTTAAACTTTCCATTCTTCCTATACCAGAAGAACCCATTCCTGATTAGAATATTTGATGGAAGAGCGTTGCGACAAGTTCGGTTTAAAACTTTCTGATCTATAAATTTATTAAATAAGTAGAAGCATTCGATCGAGATTGAAGACGTTCTTAATCTTATTAAAATGCAAGCGGCGATGTTGGTACGATTCGATTTTTCCTAGCAAATATAACGTCTTCTTCCTGTCGGGATAGAAAATTTGATGCACGTATAGAAATAAGTCTGCACACATCAATGGCTTCTCCGAGCTTTAAAGCACGATCCGGGGCCATAAATGTGATTTTAATACTGGATCGTAAAACACTATCCTTTCTTCACGTACAGTACAGTCTACCGATTCTTTAATTTTCTAAGTATCAGGCTGATATTACTAGACTTGATATTGATAATGCCACGGATGAATTGTTTTCTTCTTATTATTAAATCTAATACGGAAAAAAAGATTAGAAAATAGAACATTGTTCCACTTTCGAGAGAATAAAATTAAGTGGCGATTATCTTGTTACAAGCTCGATAGAATTTTTTTTGTATAGAACGAAGGAAGAAAAATTCGCATGAAGTAGCTGTCGAGTAGAATGTAGAACGATCGCTGCTTTTATCCACGCATTTACCTCTTAATGGAAATATACAGAAGTTAGCAACCCGAAACACTAATTGCCATCGCTCTGTGGTTGTTGAAGTTCAATAGAAGTTGTCATTCGATAAGTTATAGACCCATCAGAACATTTTCGACAACATTCCGGGAGTAAATGACATGATATAAAATTATCTCCTGTGTTAAATTTTAAATGCAGTCAGGATGAAAAATTTGAAGGTTGACACGCTAATATTATTAAGCTTAATGGAAAGATGTATGGAAACTCGCCAGCTATGAAATTCAAATTAATTTGTTAAAGAAAATCACTCCCTTGGTGACTCTTTTATAGCATGAAATTTAATAAACACATTGTTGAGACTGATTTTTTGAAAGTATGAAGATTCTATTGTTCTTTATACTTTTCTTTTCCTTCAATTTAGTTATACATAAATGTACAATACATATTTACATTATCAAGTAAGGAAAAAACAAATATAGTTTCATAATTATAAAGTATTTTCCTAATAAGAAAATGAATTAAACCGAGAAAGAATAGAATATACAACTAGTCCTATACATTGTTACTATTTTTGGATCAATTCTAAATGTAGTTTGCATTCCAATAATTAATAAAATCACCAATAATTGGGCATTCATCAAGGGACCGAATACAGATGAATTTGATTTGATCTTGCATTTTAACTCGTTAACTATATTAAGTAGAGTTTCCAGTTGAATCCCTTATAGGTAAGTTGGAAATTATTTACGAAAATTAACTACATTTCTCGATTCTTCTTTGAAATATACGATAAAATATTGTTTATACTCACCCTTTTATCTTCGATTCCGGTCAAATCGTGAAACTCCTCTCGAGTGATCATGAAGGCTGCCAGATTGGCAGTGTAGATAGCCAGGAAGACCACAGCAAACATGGCCCACACTATGGACATAAAACGGGCGGTGTATCCACGCGGGCAATCAACATTGACGGAAGCTCCAAACAAGATGGCCCAAACTAGCCAGTAGGTGCGGAATAACGAGAATTTATGATCTGAAAACGTAATGTTAATAATACCGATGATATCCTCCGGATATATATATATATATATGTCATTAACGTATAAATTACTTACTTCTAGGAGGCATCATCTTCATTCCGTAGCCGAATGGGCTGATCCATTCGAACATGAAAATTGCCAAAGCTGCCACTTGGATAGACACCAGAAGTATCATTAACCAGGACACGGTGTCGAAGGGCTCTGAGAAATGGTAAATTGTATTCGGAAGGAAAATTATTTAAGTTAAATATTAGGAGGAAGAAGGATCGTTATTGTCTTCCGACGAATGAGGACAATGTATTGGTAAAGAGAAAGGTTTGTTCGCGATCCAGATTGGGTTGTCACTTGTTGATTGGTGACAATTATTCTGCCGAAAGGACGACGTTAATTGTCCCGACTCTTGGAAGAGAAGAGTTTAATTACCCTTTTGTCGGTGGGAATGCGCTTAATTAACCTTCCCCTTTGGGTATCTCCTGGAAAGATACAGCGTCGGCTCCATTTGACAGAAATCCGAATCTACTAATAATGATGAAACACGACGTCTTTCTAAAGAGAACTTTATGTAATTCGAGCTCTTTTTTTTATTAGCTTTGAGACAAATCGACCCAATCTTGGATCTGGGTAATTGAAAAAGTCAACCACAAATAGCTAACGGGCTCTCATCGGGACTGTTGTAAGAGATGATTAGATTGGATTGATGGCATAAGGCAACGTAACACATGTTCCCGGGAGGATTTTCTATGAAAACTGGGCCTGTTTAGATGTTAGATACGCGAATAAAACATGTAAAATCCACGCGGCCAGCCCGTTAAGAGGCGAGAACCTACGACCAATTACTACTGTTTGGTGGATTTATCTACTCGGCCACCGATGGCCTCTCGATAGAAAATTGAATGAATATGGAATTACCTAGAAATGCTTTAGGCGAGATGATGCCCGTCCTCTTGGCTACAACGATGGCGATACCCGTTTCCATGAAGGGTACGGTGAAATCCACCGCCGTTTGCCTCTCCGAATTGGCTTTGAAAGAAGTAACCACCACATCGGCTTTGGTATTTAAAATTTCTCTAATTAGTCCGTTCCACGTATTGTTCTGCAGGAAAAAATTCTGATTACGAAATATTAAGATCTATTACAATTGGAATAAAGCGTCACTCGCCTTAAGAATGCCCCAAACGCCATCTTCCACTCTATATAACTCGTAGGTGAATTTCAGATCCGTGGCAAATTTCTGCAGCAAGTCGATGCAGAAACCGGAGCAACACATGAAATATTTCGGATTACGAATAGCCAAAGATCTGTTGACGCTGAGGAAGAGAAAGAATCTCAGTCAATAGATTTGAGAAAACATTTAAAAAGTAAAAAAAGATTTAGAACTAGCCTCTACCCGAGCATCTCCGATTCCTTAGCTACTCGACACCGAACTGCTCTACTACTTTTACACTCGCCGGTCTCGTTATCGGGAGGAACCATATTGACATACGGTGGCTCTTCCATAAAGGTGATTCTCAGATTAAATTTCTCTGGAACTCCTGGTGGAGGTGCGGGTGAATTTCCGGGCCATACAATGTCCTTAATAACCAGGTTGTCTCTATTCCAAGTTCCTATCTAAAAGTTTCATAAATGAAAGGAACGAAGCGAATATCCGATAATAAAAAGATATTTATAATACCTTATGCCAGAAGCCATCTACGCCCAGATTCATTACTTCCAACTCAACGTATTTAAGAGTGCCATCTGCATTAAACTCTATGGGTGGACGTCCGTATTTGCTAATACTGACATTCTTTAAATATCTGGAAAATTCCAATAATAAAAATACATTCAGTCAATTAAAGTACTTGTTTACCATCTCCAAAACTTCTTTTATGCAAAACTGTTAATTAGCGAAGTAATTACGAGTTTTCTGACAAATGATGGTCCTTACAATCAATAGACATCGTTAAGTATATAATTATAAACAACGGCGTTAATATAAAAGTTTATAATAAAAATTTGGTTTATTTTTTCTAAAATAATTTCAAAAATATCTGAATAAAATCGTAGAAATATCTCCATTCTAATATCAGCTGTTGCTAATACTAGAGTTGGATCCAATCCAAGCCTTGTTGATTCGACATTATTTATCTCGTTTTCTCTCTTTTTTTATTTTTTTGAGAAAGTTAGATACAAATATACTTTGTGGCTTTGTACGAGAACTCGTTTTGTATCGTTTAACCCGATTTAACCCAAAGAGAAAAGAAAATAGTGGTATATTTATGAGAGACGAGCCACAGAAAAAGGATGAAACTTCAAGAAAAAGCATTCGGGAATAAAATATAAATCAGATAAGTTTGTCAACCATCCATCTGGAGTTCATCTGTCATCCATTCCCTCCAGATTGATGTAGTATTACACGCATCACGCCTTGATGCGTTTGTCTCTCGCCTTTCGCGACGTTTGATAGCAGTTAAATACAGCATGTTCAATCCTGTACTCCAGCCAACTCTTATCTTTACTTATAACCGTGTGGCATTGTCTTCGGTTCACCCCTTAAAATGATCGATTTTCAATGGGAGTTATTCGAGTTTCTTTTCGCGTATTGATCCATACTCTTTCGATCTTCGATACGGAAATATAATAGAATATAATTTAAAATATTCGTCGACAATTACAAATATTGATAAATACTTACTTGAAAAAGTAATCACCCTGAGTCCATCGAACGTCGGATCCGTTACAATCCAAATTAAGATTTAAAAAGTAATTGAGGTTGCGAGGATCGTTGACAAATAATTCTAATCCGTGAGCAAAAACGGTTATTGCATTTTCTATTTCTTCGAAGAGGCGATCTTTAGTACTATTAAAGTGGATTCCTGCAACGATCCAAAATTGATAGTGGTAAAACGCGTGTGGTTCTAATTCCCAGACCAGGCGGTAGCATTCAACCAAAGAGAAACGAAGAGCATCGAGAGTCTCACCCGCTCCAGACTATTAATCAACTAAATTACAAGATGAATACACTCAAGAATTTTATGCTTCTCAACAGGTGTTCTTTAGAAATTTCTCCTAAATTACACTAAATGTTCTTTTTCGTAGAATAATAGAAACATTTCTTTAAAGTAAACCGCGAATACGTGTTACTAACTAGCAAAAAGGCTGTATACAGTAATAGGCCTGTCGGAGGCATTGGAGACGAAGTGAGTGAGCAGTGGTTGGACTGCAAGAGAAAAATACGCTGTTAGAAGGGAATCGATTGTCGCTTTCTTTCATTTCTAGTCTGCGCTATATCAACTCTATTACGGTTCAACTATAATCTATAGGTTAGCGAGATCGGCTCTACTCCAACATCACGTTTGCCGAATGTTTCTCTAAAGAAAGAAAGGGCAAAAATAATACCTAACGTATAATAACAACATTAAAGTAATAATAACAATTTATATTGTAAGACATTGTTTATGTTGATCCATACTTTTATGTATTCTTCAATGAAATATTTAATATTATTGCGTAGGGAGAAGAAGAACCTTTCTTTCCAACGTTACAGAAAAATCTTCCTTTATTAAACCGCATCCTTAACAACATTTACATTACCTACTGCATTCTCTACAACCATAAATCAAATATTAACTACACTATTAATCGTATTGTTATTATTATGTTAGTTAATTATATAGTTTATAGATTTATTTACCGTAATAAATTATTGTTAACGATAAACTAAGCTAACAAATTCATATATTTCATTGGAAATTAATAAAATCTAATATAATAAACAAAAATAATGAAATAAAGATCTTTAACAAATATACTAATTAATTCAGAAGAATAATTTTGATGAAATTTAAATTAAATGTGATAAATTAATCAATAAAAAAATGACATTAATTAATTAAAAATTACTGTAATTAAATTTAAAAAAATACATGCGATGATGTAATTAATATAAGACGGAAGATAAAAAGAATAACGCGATTATAAAATTGATAAAATAAATGTACATTCAATCAAAATACATAATTTTATTATTTATTATAAGTAGTTTACTCGAAACCTCTCCAAATAATAATTTGTTTAAATGGTTTAAAATGTATGCATTGCGAAATTGTCTATTTTATCGAGTGGATCATTAAACTTTATGACGTGAAATTTATACCTTTAGGATATTTAGCCTAATATAAATCTGAAACTTAATCATTAAAGTTAAAAGAAGAAGTAAACAAGTGTGATTTCACTCGGAGACATTCTCTGTACGATGTTTTACTACAAAAATCTTGTATTAAATTTGACAAATTGGCAAGGAAAATCTATGGATTATATAGGATGAAGATACGGATCCGGATGAGATCTCACAATGCCACTTCCCTTCTCCACAAAGCATTTACCCAGCATTCCTGCGGGAAAAGTGTCGGGGGCCTTGCCTCCGTATCCGATGACCGACTGGGTGACGATCCAGATATAATTTTTACCCGTCATTTCCAAGTGATTGGCTGCAGACATGATTCGTTCGGCCTCTTCCTTGGTGCAGTATAAGAGAAATACTCTGGCTTCGCTATCCGCTAACACCTTCATCTCGGCTTTCAATCCCTCCTGACTCATATTTTTCAAGATGAAATAGTTGAATATGTTAAATCTGAAAAAAAACGAGGCGGTGTAAGCTCTGTCTATTTAGAATGGAGCCAATCGAAGACACTTACATAGAATCCCTGAAAGCGTCCTTGGCTTGATCTCTGATAGAGCGGATGAAATCGTCGTGGCCCCCCAATTGAGTGGTAACGATGGAGAACTGGTTCCAGGTGTAACGCTGCAAGATACTCAACATGGCAGCCGACTGATATTCCACCGAAGGGGCCAGCTGCAACACTTTAGACTCGGTCAATCGCTATATTCAAACAGTGGGATTAACATCTCTTTCATCATCCGACCATTCACTTTCCTTTAAAATGTACTTGACCAACAAGACACCCGGGCCCTACTCTAAACACCAATGCCGATCTGCTCTCTCTCTCTCTCTTTCATTCTCCCTATTCTGTATAATGTATCAATCAAGGATACTCTACTTCTCCGAGGTGGAAACTACAACGTGACATTCTTCTTTTCTTTCGACTCAACGACTCGACAGTTACATTTTCCATTTTGTATTGAATTTAATAAATATTAAATGAAAAACCGATTTTTAAAAACATTCATCAATATTTATACCACTCTTTTATTAATATTAAACACATTGATTTGTTTAAAAATGGGAGAGAATACGACGAATAGAGTACGGAAAAATCGAGGTAAATAATTGAAAAATAAGTCATTTAAGAACTATAAAAAAACATGTAGATTTAAAGAAAACACACAAGCAATCTTCTTTCCATAATTGAGAATATAACTGATGTAATTTAATTTTATCTAATTTAATTATCTAACTTTATTTAATATCCGTTAAATAACATCATTAGGTAAATCGTGCACCGGTTTTAGTTCCCTTTTTTTCCGATGAGATAAAAGAGCGACCATATTTATTTAGTGATTTTTATCACTGATTAAGCGGAGCGATCTGTTTCCCTTTTCAATCTATACCATTTGATATAGAAGGAGGAAAGTAGATGGAACGGATCGGCTAGAATAATATATAAAAAAAACACCCCTCGGAAATTTAACGAAATACAAAAACTTAGCTTACCTGATTCTACATCGAGCAGCCAAAGGAAAAAAGTAAAACATCAACTATCTTTTGACTTTATTTATCCCGTGAGACGAATATTGTCGCAATGTAAGTTAGTTTATTATTAATAGCAGTCTGTGCCCAATTTATTGCCAATACAGACCTCCTCTCTCTCTCTCTCTCTCTCTCTTCTAAAATTTTCTTATTTATTCTATCAGAATATCCTATATAAAAGCTTTTCAATTCATTTGAATAAGGAATTGACGTTTATATAAGGAAAAACCAGAAAAGGATTACTGATTTTTAATCAAAGACTCCTTCTTTGTATTCCTTCATAATAGAATAGTCTAGTGAATGAAACTTTTCTGTTATTTTTAGTTTTTAAAATTTACAATGTTTCGTAACCTTTAGAGCGGGGCTGAATTTAGACTGGTTATAACATGTAAGAAGCCCATATTCTCTTATTAAAAAACATAAAGACGTGAGGCCCTAAGCTCCGTAAGATTTCCATAATGGAAATTTCACTAAGAACATCGCCATTTATGGACTCTTCCACGCGGAGTATCTCTTGTATTAATAGAAAAACAAAACCAGACAGCGTCGTTATACATTTGTTTTTATTAAAATGATAAAAAAAATTATAATAAAAAAAACGCCATTTACTAAAATTCATACTTTTAATAACCCGATTTAAATGCTTTTTCGTTTTCTTCTAAGAACCAAAGTCCGGCTGATCGATTCATTAAATTGTAAATAACATCTGGTAGAATTGAATTTCTTTAGTCGGGAATGTTAAATATAAAACTACGCTTTTACTAACAGCGTGTTTTTTTCCCCCTTTTAACAGGATTAAATTTTCGCCCCAATAGTTTTTACACACATTTCCAAAATGGCAGGGGAAAAAATGCTTAAAAAATATGAAAAAAATTGGGAATTTTTTGGCTAATGGATAAATGGAAGTGGCAAACTCGTTCGAATATTGATAGGATATTTGTAAATTAATTAATATCTATTTGTCGGCGAGCGAAGTGATTAAAATTAAAAATGATAATTTCGCCAGATTAAGAGGAGAAATGAGTAATTTCGATAGGAGAATAATTAATAAACTCTCTTTTCTCGATACGATGTTAAATCCTTGGTCAGAAATGAAGCAAAATGAATGAAGTCGATAGTATAAAAGATACGCGATTACGCGATATATCGCTCGTTTTTCTTAATATTCTTTACGCGATTCGAAGAATATCGATAGAATCTTAAAAAGAGACTTAATACGATTCGTGTTTTTTATTATTTATCTTATTGGCAATGTCGAGCACAGACAGACAAACACATTAACAATCCTACCTGTTCCAGTCCGATGTTGTCGGCATTCCAAGCGATGACCGGAATGCCCAAGTAGGCAGTCAATTGAAGAATATACTGCACCACGGCCGCGTTGCTTCCGTACACTTCGGAATTGGTGAAGTACAAAATGCTGACCACACCTTTGGACAGAAGATGATCGCAGAAGGTCATCAGAATCTCTTTGGTGGTGGGCCGTATGGATATCGACAACTTTGGTTCTGCCGTAATCTCATAAAAGTTCGTGAAATTGAGAGAGGAGTACTTGCCCTTCATTAGGTTATCCACCGTTTCGGTGATCTTCTTAGAATAGGCACGTCTTAATGTTATGAGCAAGGTCTCGGGCAGGATGACACCGAAACGGATCTTCTGCAATCTAGAATTAGCCGAATCGGTAGCCAAACTCAGCATCAACAGAGGCAAAACGAGTGAGAGTGTCGGCAGCTTCATGCCTGCCCTTTCGTGACGGTCCTGCAAAGACACATATAGTCATGCGTGACTGTACTACGAGGCCATCGTTCGCATCGTTAACGAGTGCTCGACACACCATCGCGACAAGAATAGGCCAACGACGCGTTTTACACTAGAAAGCACAGATGTAGACACATCCTTTCGCTTACATCATCATTACGGCAACTCGTTTGTCTGTATTCCACATCACCATCATCGAAAGAGCACTCCAAGAACAAATGGCCTTTTATACGGGAGCCAAAAAGTCGTCCTCTGGATTTCTAATAAAACAAACTCGATTCGTGGCGAATATCCATTTTCAGGTTTATATCCCAGCCAACGACAGCCATTAAAGTAGAAAGGACCTGGATTTCCACTGCTCGAATCATCTCGAACAGACAGATTCGTCCAATCAATTCGGAAGCAATTTCCAGACAGAAAAGACATCTACGTGGTACATACACGAGAAAATGTAACAGAAATATCTATTCGGCTTTCTCCAATGAGTAAAAAAAAAGAATTTAAATAGCCAAAGGGTCATCCAATTTATCTTAAATTCCAAGGAAATGGTTCCCCGGTTCGAATGATAAAATGGTTAAAGGAATACGAGCAGAGAAAGGCAAATAGTGTCTCGGGAGTTCATATGATAGACAACAAGAAAAATATTTGTCGTCGAATTAGAGGAGACGAAGACTCTTCTCCCGATATTTACCTAGTGTGAAAAGTGGAAAATCGATCCTCTTTTCCAGTCCACATGAAATGTAAATAAAGACATCGGGTGGCAACCTGGACTCGAAAAAACACCATGCCCCCCTTCGTTCGCTTTCCTCGTATGTCGGGATTCTTCTCTCGTCACCAAGTTGCCACCTCGAAACAAGGAATATAAGAGAAGAATCATCATTCTTTCCACCAAAACCACAGGTTACTTCAATGCGGTTGACCCTCCACCGGAAACGGGACATCTTCTTGTAATCGAACCGATTTATCATACTCGTCTCTCCAAAAGATAAATTCTTTTGACGGGAGAAAAATGAAAGGAAACTTTCTTGAAGGGGAAAAACTATATATATACAAGCTTAGGAAGATGATTTCAAATTTCGGTTAAACTTTAAACGTTTTCAAATAGAATAACCGCGTTTAAATAGCGTAGAATACACGTTTACAATTAATGTAAAGTAATTACCGTTAATTGTAGGAAACGAAGCAATAAACGGTAACCGATATACGTAGGATGCGCGATTTTTATAGTCGGGCGAGAAATTCCTTCCGATACTTTCGCGTTGGAATAGAATTTTCTATTTACAAGTAACGACACGCGTGATAATTTACAGAAGCGAGGGCGCGACCGAACTCGCTACTCGCATCGATCGCACTTTTCCGGCTTCGACCTTGTCAAGGTTATACTTTCCTGTAAAAAAGTATTCGATATGTTAAAGGTGACGCGAAAATTAATTGTCTATTCATCCTTCGATTCCTTAACGGCGAAGATTTCTTGGTTTTTCGACCTTCCCCGGAGCGCGATTACGCTTCGTTAGCAAAGAAACGAACGTTTTGACTCGCTTCTTCCATGCGGTCGATAAGAGAAAAGACTATATCGGCCTCTCATCCGGCTGCATTACCTAACAAACAATCGAATAAACCGACCCTTCCGGTTAATTATGACCGGTTGTTGTCCTTTCTACATCCGATTTTGTTTTTATTTTTTTCTCTCTCTCTCGTTTCGTCGCTGACGTTACGCGAATATCGCCGCGATTCTCGTCAGCGTAGCAACCGTACGAAGATGCCAAGTCGCGAGCGAGAAGGGATGAGGAAGAGAAGGAGAATTTGGCTCAATTCATTAGATGGATATAAAGGTTTTCTGGTGTTAATAAGGGAGGGGACGGAAGCAAAGAGAGAGAAAACAGAACTATTAAAAGTACAGAGATGGGCCATAATGATATTTGTTGTTACAAGGCGGGAAGGAAGCGGTGAATTATTTATCAATTGCTAGAGAAGGCCGGCGACGCCGCTTCTCCACTTCTCCGTCGAGCTGTCAGCTCTCATCAGCGACTCTCGTCTATACGGATAACCTAATTCTCCCCGATGTCGCGCCGTTTGCGCCTCGCTACTTCATCATTACCCTTTCTCTTTCCTCGTAGAAACTATCTCTCTCTTTTCCCTTCGGACCACCCCATCCGGTTCCTGTTTTCTCTTCCGCGCTAGCACCGTACTCTCTTCTGGTCTGGCCGATATATTTTTTTTTTCTTTTAAAGATTTCCCGACTTCTCCAACAGGTAGCCCCGGCGTTTCCTCTGCCGTCACAGAAGGGAGGCGAGGTGAAAGAGTAAATGCTTCCGTGTAACTCCGAGGTGTAACTCGTAACTGAGCGGAAATGCGTTTCTGCTCTTCGTCGCCGCTTTTAATTACAGACCAGACGGAGGAGAGAACTCTTAGATGAGAATAATCTGCCAACAAAAGATAATTGTCGGTGGAAAAAGGAAACGGTAAATGGGATTTTCCACTTTGGTCGTCTGATCTCGTTACCTGCGATGGAAAAAAGCCCGTAATCAAATACTTCGATGGTAAAACGGAAAGTGACGTTTAACATTTTTCACTTTTTTTTTTTTTTCTTCTCTATCCGACTATAAATGCTTTTAAGTTTCCTTTTCTCAGATATTTTTCTAAATGCTTCGAATCTTTATCCATGCCTGGGGCATACCTTTCACGAGGATTCCATTCTGTAATTTCACTCTAACTCTGTCTCTTCCAAACACCAATGTCCCTCCTCTACCCCCTCGAAACTACTTTAGATCGTTCTGTTTCTTCCATCCTCGCACTTCGTTATATTAAGAAATCTAAGCCGGAGGCAAATATATATATATATTTTTTTATTATTATTTTGTTGAGACTATAAATAACAGATCGACCTTCTTTCCCAAAAATTATCGATTTTCTCCATCGATACCTGCGCGCCGTACCGTAACTGTCCAAATATATGTTGATTGGTGACCCTGGCCGAATTTCCATCACCGTACAGGATCGGATGAATCTCTAAAACTTCTTAAATTTCAAAAATCTACCGAAGAGAAAATCGTTAAATAAACTTTTAAGCCGTGAAAAGTATTCTGCCCCATTTCTTTCTTTTGCTTCGATGAAAAATTTTTCCCATCAAATTTGAATAGAAAAATTTATAACGTTTCTTCGGGGCACGTCAGCAATTCTATCCTTATTCCGGCAAATTTTTCATGAAAAAAAAAACCGTTCAAATTTCATTCTAGAATATTAATTTTAACTACTTTCGAGATAAGATCTTAATTTTATAACTCTAGAATTATTATTAAAGAGTTATAAATTAAATGGAACGCATTATCGGTAAAATCGGTAATGGCTGCGGGTTATACAATGACGAACGACATCGGCTTGTAAAACGTAAGGCATTTGACATAAAGTAAGGATGGAGAACATACGGAACTTCAAAACTCTAGTATTTTATCACCCGTAATCATCTTCATTAATTACTGCTGTTAATTAGACTATAAAAAACAATAAACTCCAGCTACTGTTGCCATTCTGATCATTTGAATAATCGCCGAAGTCCATATTTCGGAGAAGAGTAACGTGTGTTTGGGCATTGCAAAAATCATCTATTCAGACTTAAACACGAGAAAAATCTCTCTTGAACATTGTTTAATCATTCGGTCACGTGTACAGAAACCCGAAACATTATAGACGGTGTGACTACGGTTAATTTTATTTATTTATTTATCCCACAGGACGAAGGAAATCCCAAATGAAAAACATATTATAGTCGATGGAAAATTTTTAAACGAGAATAGAAACTCTTGTAGTGGGTGTTTTCCGAGGGAGGAAAAAAAAAATCGGGTTTAAGATAACATTAAAGTGGCTGGTGGTCCAATTATCGGGATTAATGATAATTAAAAGATAATTAAAATCATTTAGAATGACTGGAATCTATGGCTTCCGCAGCAAAAAAGACAAGTTGCGCTGCACCGGTTGCCATGACGATGCCATTTCTGCCGCTTGTTTGTAATCTTTAGGCTAAGTGCAGCAACTCCCATCACCGCACCCGTAAATCTCTTCCCCGTACCTCCCCCCCGGACAATTTCCAATCTCTGCTCCGGCAATGCATTCTGGGATTTTTGAACAAGCCGTCCGTTTCTCTCTCTCTTTTTTTTCTATGCCAAGAGATCGAGAAGTTATCTCGAGACTATAATTCGAACCTCTCTAATTTTGGCTCTCCGCGGGATGTGGGGCAACTTTCGAGGTGTGCCACTCGACCGTTTGTTACTATTAATTGTTTTTTTTTTTCTTAAAAATCGATCCCTTTAAAGAGCTAGAGTGGAGCGTGAACGAGTCGCGGTTACGGGACTTTAGAAAAATAAAGGTGAGAAGCACTTACTGCTCGGAGATAGAAATCCGGATCCGCATCTTCTGGTTTCTGCAGGACGTGTGGAGGATCGGCTTCTCGTTCCAGACTCCAAGGACGGCTGGACCGCGCGCATGCGTTAAGGATGAGAATGCACGGAGCGGATTCGCAGTGCAGTCGGCCGAATCCCGAAACCAGAGCAGGGACGAACGGAGGGATTCTTTCCCCGGGGTCACACAGAGAATGATAACTGCCTTCGACATTGGCCAGAAGGACGTCGAGGGAATGAAGGCCAAATCGATAACCTAAAGATCCAAAAGTGACACGTGACGAGCCGTCTCATTCCCAAACCCAGCACAAAACGCTTCCGTAAGTTATTCGAACGAGCTCACGCTGTTATAGTTGATAAATGGGTACCAGTAGGAAAGATATAGAGACCTCTCCCGCCTCGTTCATACAATACACGTAACTTTCCCTCATAAAAAGTCTGTACAGTATGTAAGAAAATTTGTTAGCACTCAACTCGGGAAATTTACGACGGGGAGAGAGAGAGAGAGACATACACACTTCTATAGAAGCAGGTGCCGTTGTTGTGTTGTTGTGTAGATAAATATTTGTTTCTACTAGAAAAACATCTTCGCCATCAAACACTAGAAGTAAAATTTGTCTGTGATGGGGCCCTCTCCGCTACAATTCTAACAACAAGAAAGTTTTCTCCTGTCCCATCTTTAATATAATATTCACCGTAGACATATCTTAGGCCGTAAACCGAAAAGTCGATGTCATTGGCTTCTCTTCACTCGCGTGGCAAACTTATCATTTTAAAGTATTTGCCAGAATAGTTACGGCGAGAAATTTGTCAAAAATTGTATCAATAACTCGACTGTTGACGCGCTTTGTCCGTCGACTGGAAGAAGAATACAAAGAAGTGCTTGTCACTCGGCAGCTCTCCTTTATCGGAATGCATTTAACTTCAAAATCTAATTATCCGCTAGTGGAATTTCTATCGTCTAATCACCTCTTCTAATCATAAAAGTATTTTTAAACGCGAAAGAATGAGCCTTTTAATCATTTTCGACGTTGAAGTCTGTCGATGGAAACCTTCTCTAACGTTTCCAATCTAACAATCAGATTTATCTATTGTTAAATTTCCGACATCGGTTTCCATCTAAACTATCTCTATTTTTATCCTTATTTTGTCAAACCAACGAAGTAAAAGTACTTTTCTAAGGACTCTTAACAAGCAGTTAGATCGTGCCTTTAAAAAAAATGCGGTCGGCACCATCTGTTTGTTTAAGAGATTTATAGTCAGACGGGAAAAAAACAATACTTTTCCCTTCGATAATAAAGCAGAACTAGCACTCATTTCTTCTGTGAAAACTGGAAAAATTGAGATCAGAATAACAATTATATCCAAATGTAGCTGCAAAGTAAAGAGCAAACTTTGTTTCTGCTATTCTAGAAAGAAAGGACATTTGCCAGTGCTTCTGGCTATTAATTAACGTCTTGTGGATCCTCCAGAGTTTTTATCATCCGTAAAAGAAGCTAAGTACAGTTGGAGTGAATAGTAATTTACACGATGATTGAAAATAATAAAGGGAAATACTCGAAAAGATTAACTTGGATAGGAGAAAAGCATTCGATTGATTTTCGACAGCCAAAATAAAAGGATCATACGAACCGAACGTAATCATCTACAGTTCCATTAAGAAGTCTTTTCGAACTTCTTCCGATGGATACTGGAATTAACTTAAACCATCGACATGATAAAGATTCTAACGTCAATATTAATAAAAAATAACGAAATTTATTTGTTTACTCTATTAACTTCAGCATTCTACAGTATATTAACTGTAGGAAATAAAACTAGTTGCAATTTATATTTTGTACTGGCGGAGTAAATGGAAAAGCAAAGACGGGAGATTTGTTAATTTACAAAGTAGTTGAGCGGTAGAAGGTCTTCGATTTAATTTTACCGGGGTTAAACGATTAGAGAGGGTTTAAGAGATTGTTTTGCGACAACAGAGGCGGTAGCGAAGAGGACAGCCATCTCGTGGTGGGTAGGAGTTAAGTAGTGCGATCGGATCCGCTTTAATCTCGGGATAATTCAATTTGGAAGAGAAAGCAATTACGACGTCCTCGACGGAAATGTCTATCGTCTTCCCTTTTGCTGCAAAGTAGTCGTCGGATGGACTAGATCGTCTCTGTACGAGTCGATGCCACTCGTTTCCAATTTCGCAAATGTCAACGTTCCTCTGGGGAGTCCGGGATCGAATCTCGTATCGTCCGATTGATTAAAGTCGAGTCGTTTTAAAAGCTTGATAAAATCGAAGGCGCCATTACATTCGATTCGATATTGTCGGTGTCGGAGAGGGGAAGAGAAGAGACGAGTAGCAATGGTGATGAATGAACGGAGACACGGCTCTTTTGGTAAAAACCCAGAGGAAATTGTCGAAAGAAATCACAGAGAAAGATTTTAAGTGATGTAGACGACAGGTTGGTCGGGCGCCCGTAAACCGGGCGAGAGAATGGCGGACGATTCTCTAGCTTTATCTACAGATATGAACTATAACCGTTACACAACGCGAAAACAAACGCTTTCACTATCCTTCGCTTTCTTATTTTCCTCCTTCAAATTTATAACCAATCGGTTTGACCGTTATTATACATTATAAAGGAGCATTCGGCACTGTTCTCTTCTAGACGCGCTCGGATTACGGAGGAGAAAACAAGACTTCCGTCGTCGTTTGAATGCGAATTTATTAAATTCTCGACTGTCGTCTCCAGTCACCCCCCTTCTCCGGTAGGAAATGTTTTCCTTTAATTAGTCACGGCACTGGGTGGGCGACCGACTCGCGGGAAAGACGCCTTCTTTAATGAAGATGCCACCGACTGAATTGGTAAAGGAATCGTTTTAGAATTACTCGGGTTTGCCTAAATCCAACAAGCTGCTTTTAATTAAAAAACTCCGCAAACACCTCACGTAGAAAATGCAATAGAGATTTTTACCTATCCACAAATGCTTTTTCTTCCTGATAGAATTTAAAAAAAAATTGCAATTTTAAAGTGGAAATTCAATTCGTTTACTTAAGATATAATTGGAATAATTTGAGAAATATTGCTGTAAATCTGTTATTTTTTTTATTAATAAAATACATAATGGCCTAATCGAATGCCCGTTTTTTTTCTTTATAGATGTGTGGCTGTATGGAAACTTATCGTGTTTCCACAAGAGGAACCGAGTTCCATTCTCATTTGGGGCGTAGGCCACTCTTGGTCAAGATGAAAGATTATCATTCAGAATAACTTCTTAGTAACCTCGGAGTTGAAGAGACTTAAAACAAAATAAAATACAATCTTATTCAGTTATATTCTAGGGAATTATTTATAAATAAAAAAACATATAGCGAATCTTTCTTGGCTCTGTGGATTTTCTTTTGACTGCAGGAAAGGTCGTCTCTCTCGAGTTTAAACGGAGAAAAACTAAATTAAACAAATTCTAGTAAAAAGAAATAGAACTTAACGAATTGAACTAAATAGAACCTCTGCCAGTCTGCCTAACTAATCCGTAGTAATAAAGATTTGCATTCATAATTCCCAATTACCGAATCTTTTCTTTTGTGTGAACAGTAATCGATAAAGGCAAAAATAAGAGTTAGAAAAACTAAAGAGAAGAAATTTAGCAAAGTGGAAAAGGGCGAGCCTCAATTAACCCAGGACAACTTTAGTTAAAAAGAAAGAAAGCTTTTAATTCGTGATGGCATTCTTTGTTTACGTCCCCACTTCTCCATCTCTTGTTAAGCAGTCGTTCTCCTCTCCGATTGCTTACTCCCCACGATAATGGCTGACGACCATAGAAAGCAGAAACTATTCTTGTGGGATTCATAATTTTCGATTCTTCATCCTGCTATCGGTTATGCATCATCTTAATAAGGAATGCAAAAGATATGTCGTTATGGTTAGCCACGCTTTCAGGAAAGAATAGCGCCGTATTTCAGTAAATATGAGAAAGGAGTTTAGTAGGAGGTAAAGTAATTGGACAACTTTAGGAATATCACCGAATCGAAGTCACGTGCCAGGTCCGGAGTAGTATATTAATCTCTGGAGAAAAGTGGACGAAGCGGGCACGTGATAATTTTTTACTATTAAATAATTGAGTGCAAATCGAAGAAATTCTTAGTTCCCCCTCCATTAAGAAACAGAAATTATTAATTCGTCACACTGAATTTTTTATGGTTCAAATTTGAGAAACTTCTCAAATTAAATCAGGATGATTTCTTATCCATTAACCCGAATAAAAACGGTTGCTTAGCCAACTTCGAGTTACAAACGTCGATGAAATATTTTAAAGATATAACCCGAATGCACGGTCAACGGGACCTACAAACTGCTTCGTTTTCTTAATTGAAAAAGCGGAATAATCTTTCGTCCCCATTCCTTAATCCTTTGCTTCGGCACTTATCCCACTCTCCACTTCCCTTCTCGGGTTTCGACAAAAATATATATATATATATATATATATATAAACGAGCAATTATTTATTGTCACATCGTCACAATGCCGGGCTGCAATTTTTAATCATATTTTTTAAAAATTTGTTTAATTTAAAATGTATGCTCTCCACCTCAAATTACTATAGTAGCGACTTGCCCCTGTAAATCATACTTTCCCTGTTAGCGATGGAGTCGTGCCGGTCATCTATTAACTCCTTTCGGAGGAAAAGCTTTGAATTTAATTAAGGTGAATTCCGGTTTGCGTTGGAAGTTTGTATATAGTTAATTGGGGCCTCTTTCCCCTAATATTTCCATATCTGGTCTCGTCTTTCATCTATATAACTCTGTTCTTGAAATTAAGGAAAGAAAGACGGTGGGAATTTATAGGTCTATAATATTTTCAAATTGCAGCCCAAAAAATTAATTAATGCGCAAATATCCCTAAAACGATGTCGAATTTCCCTATTTTAGTATTTTTTCCCTATTCTTTATTACATTGTTTCTCTACCATTTCCCCATTCACCTCTCTGTTTACGAGGATGGAAACGGTGGGAAAGATAAGTTTAATTTATCGCTGGGATTTTGAAAGAAGACAAACAAGAGGGGTGAGAGGA